CGCGCGGTTCATCTGATATCTTCTCTTTTTTTTTTTTTTGTCGTATCAAAAACTACTTCGGCTGTTCCACGTTTAAGATTCTTGATCTCGCTGAAGTCCAGACATCTTACATATTACAGGCCACGACACTGAAACGAACCATTTGGATACGAATAACTCCACCGACGCTCCTCTGTCGCCGAAATTAACGACGGTCCCTTTACCGAGCTTTTGATAATCATTTGTATCCGTCTAGTAATTGTGTAAACGTGTTCTACGCTCCAGCCACGCAAGACAGGATAAAGGTAGTCCATCACCATGACCATTTTAGGTAGGAACAAATTAATTTATTTCGCTGGCCGCGATCGCGTGGGCGGCGAGCTCCGATCTCGGTGTCTCGTCACGCCAATCAGTAGCGCAAACAGAAGTTAAATTTAAAATGAGCTAGCGACTCGCACGAAATGCGTGGAATGCTCGCAGGCCTCGCGACACTCGCAAATACATTAAGAGCCGTTCGCCGCTACTTTTACAAGAGAAAAGGGTGTCACGACGGTCGCGTCGGTCTTAAAAGACACGGTAATTTCGCGAAAATGGGAAAGAGGTACGAAATAACGCACTTTAAACGAACTTCAGCCATTCACTCTAGTCGTGGCAGTTATATGCAAGTGTTCGAACAGAGATAGACGATAATCAAATAACTGTAGTTTGATAAAAAAAAAAAAAAAAAAAAAAAAAAAAAAAACTGTAATTTATCTTTTATTGCGAACTGTTTACTAGCGACAGCCGACGTTTTAATATTAATTCTAATTCTACGTAAGATACTTTGAAGCATCTCTACATTTCACGACTTTTAAGATCGTTAAAAAGAAATACCGAGTCTTTTCAAAATAAATAAATCACTTTTCAATTTTACGCCCGCATTCTCCGAGATGCTATTTTATTTTTGAACCTTTATTTCAGTTCCAGTTAATTTCTTTTTTGAGGAACAAGAAACGCGGGGAATATATGAGACGCAAAGTTGAAGCGGTTTCAAACGAAATAAATCATCCCGCTGATGTGATTTTTTTAAATAGAATTGTGTTTCACTGCCAACAAAAATAACGGCACGAGGCAAGAATTTGATGGAAGTAACATTTTTATCTTCTAAATAAAATAAATACAGAGGAGAATATGATGACTAACGATGACACTTATGAACGAATCTAACGCAGAATAAAATTGGACTCGGATGGATCTTTGTAATAAGTATTACAGTTTTAATTTTAGCGTGCTACAAGTAAATTTTTTGTTTAATATATTCAATTTATCAATACGTATTAGTACTATCCATGAACTGTTCTTGTATTATTTCGGTGGTTACGTTCGATAAAAGGAAGATAATGATTAATCGTCAGATAATGCATAACAAATATCGCATAAAGACAAAATAGAAAAAGTAGAATTAAGTATATACAAATTTCAATCATTAATACGTTCAATAGTTTACTACGAAGAAAATAGAAATTCTATACAGAACGTGTCGTATCAATTTATTATCAAGTTTAAACTGTTTTGGTTTCAACCATTGTTATTCTTCAATTCACTCTCAGTATACTTTAAGTAAAGATTCATGAGATTAAAGTAATATTCAATTGATGTGTTATTTTAAACTTTGACTTATAAATTAAAGGGCACCAAGGATTTCTATTTACACACCTTTCCAATTCGTGTTTTACTAATTACCTCAGAGAATGTTTCCACTGAGTTATCGATACGATCGTGCTGGACACGAAAACATTAAACTCGTTAATGGTCTCTGATTAGTGCGGTATGAAATAATTGTAACATCAAAGTAATACAGCAGTGATACAACATCGATTTAATGTTGGCGCGTGAGTCGAAAGAAACAATCACGAAGAAATGCTGACCGCTCGTAAAATTAATAAGCGCAATGAACGTTAACGAGGACCATAAATATGGCCTCCGCGGCTTGCTTATCCGTCGATTAGCATAATCACCCTTGATACCCGTAGACTATTATTTAAAAATATCACGATGAATCACTGTACATGCCCACTTTATGAAGGTTCTTAGCAGGATCCCTAGCCCTCAAAAGTTCGACACTTTGATAAAAAATAATGGCTCGTCGTCTCTGTAACAACTTCATTTTATATTAACTCAAACGCTAATTTCGTGAACGCTATCGAAGTTCTTCGGGCTAAACACTTTCATGAGAATATTAATTAGAAGTCCTTGAAAGAAGCTGCAATGCAAATAGCGGACTTATTTACGAACAAAAATATTTGTCAGCTTCCGCTGCTGTCAGGAAAATGTTGAAAAAGTAATTGATTCACAGCAATTCACGCAATGCATCGAGTAAACGCTGAACAGAAAAATTATTCCCGATGTCTTCTTTTTTATTTCACTTGTATGTTATTAATAATCTGTCGTTCATTTTTTCACTACCACATTCACGGTTAAAACGATACTTAATTAGAACCATATTTCAGCCAGATGCGTGGAAAGATTTCATCCGTCATCGCTATTTTTTTTTCTCTGCATTTTCTACGTAACTGTTCATAACAACGCGATGTTCGCGTGCACCGCATCGAAAGAGTTCGTCAACAAAGTTTTTTTTAATTAAGTTTTACTAAGAAATCACCTCTTCTGCGGGCGATACGGCACGCCGCGATTATTGGCCCAAGATATCTTAGCATAGTAAGGAATAGCCATGTAATCAGTATCCAATTAGAGACCCAAGGCTTCGACCCATCCTCGTCTTCTCTAATTGCACGCCGAGATTTCGACTATCTTAACGTATCCATTATTTCCCCGCCAACGTTGAATTTTACTCTCGTATTAACGTAATAATTGCTCTGCAGATACTGTCGCCCATATTGTGCGGGGCTCGACTGCAGTTTTTAAGAAATACAACGCGGATAATTAATTGTGTCCTTCGTCCGTTTACAGTAATTTTTTTTTTAAATAATTACTTGTGCGACGAAGCAATTAATTTATCAACAATTAATTACTCGCGTTCGATAATGTCTATTTACTTGTGTTCGTCAATCTGAATCAAAATTTTGCGTTGAAATTCAGTTGCAATCATGAAACATCAACATTTTGTACGTATCAACGTTTCTTCTCTGAAACTAAACGTCGTATGAATAAACTGTAAATATGAAAAAACTTTCGTTTCGCCATTCTCTATAAAGTGATATTTTTTTTAAATTCAATTGTTCCACTGTTGTTTTTTTTTTTCTTTAAGACAACTGCAACAAGAATTACACCGCTATGAGATCTCAGGAAAAAGGGTCTTTTAAGTTTTCAATTTTTATATCTGAAACTAAACGTCGTATGAATAAACGGTAGATATAAAAAAAGTTCCGTTTCATCATTTCCTACAAGGTAATATTTTTTTTTAAATTCACATCTCTACGCCTCTTAAAATTTCCAGTAAAAATCGTCCGGCAGTCGAAGAGTTAATTATTTTTGTGGGGCAGTTGGTGCTTGTCCGATAGTTGCTTTTCTTTCTGAACGGTAACTTCGTATCAATACATTCACGCCGGTATTTTACAGGCGGGTCTCTAGTACCAAGAACTGACGAAAATAATAAAATTCTGAAGCTGAACATCGGAAATTTGTATCGTTAGGTCGAAGATAAAAATAACGAAATATGTTTCGAAATATCAACGTTGTAAATATGTAGTGCATAAAATAAAACGATTTTCATAATTTTCTTATAATAACCACTGATGAAATTTGAAGTGACGCGACTTAAGTTGAAACGATCGTGCTGATTACATGTCAACAAGACTATTTCATTGCCACGATTGACAACGGTCGTTATGATATTCGCAAAGTGTTTCACCATTAACGAGTTTGAAGCGTACAATTTGGGTTCCCGACAGGAACAAACAACACAATGCACATCGTCGAGCCGCCTAATTGAATCGAGGAGAAGAAAAACAAGCGTGACTGAGCGGCCACCGCTAACTAACCTTATTAAATAGCAGAAGGGCACAATTAACGGAAAAGTTCCCCGGGAACACGAGGCACGGCCAAGGCGGTCTCTCGTACTCCAACGTCCTTATTATTTACCAACCCTCCAGAAAAAGGGCCGCGATGCTCGTTAAAACGTTTTTCGCGAGCGTCGTTCGCAATTTGTTGGAGATCCACTTCGGTTATACCTGCTCGCCGCACGCGAAATTCCGAGAAAGGGGCCAGAAAGTGGCCATCCTCCTCCTCTATCCTCCCGGTCCGTCGTCTATCCCCGTCTCTCGTGTTTTGCGTAATCAGGTACCGGTCCTCTCTTTTTCCCATCGTTTCCGTTCTTTCCTGACCCCCTTTCGCGGTCCCTTTTCGCCGCTCCGTCCGCGCGGGCCCACCGGACATAAATTCGAGCCAAAGTGAACACAATGCGTGAAACCAGACTAACGAGCGGGAAAAGGCGACTTTACGATTTTTCGGAAAGGCCCGACTCCCCGCCCATCGCGTTTACGCGGACCCTCTAATGGCGACATAATGTAAGGCCACCACGGTTTAGCTCTCGGAAGGTCCACCTTGCCAAGGGAACCTGAAGGATAAATCGATTCGTATACCGGAGTTCTTCGAATAATGAAAGCTACCTCGTGGAATTGTTCGGTAAGTGTCATCTGTCTCGAATTTTGTATCGACTGAACTGGTCTTTAGAAATCGGGAATTATGTTCGCGGCAAGTAAAGTGGACGACGGCTTATGTATTGGAGAGAGAAGATGTTATTCATTATTTGAATCGAGAGGGACGAACAAATACTCGGGTTTGAATAACTCTGTTCTCTCTTCACGAATGCTTCAACTCTGTTCCTTACGATTTCATTTTCAATAGTCACACGTCGAGATATTCACGTATGAAGTTGTGCAAATCGTAGACGTCCTATAGTTTGTACGCACGTGCACGGTACAATTAACTTTGCATTGGAAAATGTCTGATAAGTAATTACATCGAAATCGTGTAGAACCATTCCAGTTAGACCTAGTATTTAAGAAAGGAAAGTATCTTACCTGTTTAAGATCCAAAACTATAGTTATATACTCGAATTGGTCCCCTCTTGCAAGCGTGGGACTCTGCCACCACCTTCCAGGATTCGAGTCCAGGATGTTGGTAATATTATGCCTTTTGCCGGGATCGGGACTCCTCGCGTCGCAAACCGCGCATCTTGATGATTCGGAGGGTTTGCAAAATGTCTCTGGTCCCTCTTCACCGCAGGTTGCGTTCACATAAACATTTGCCTTTGCGGCGACGTTAAAAGTCGATGGAAAGAGGCCACTATTCTTCAAGCTTTTGCTCCCGCCATACAGTCCAGACGAACCTGAAATTAAAATAAGTTACCGTTATATACAATCTATACGTACAATATCGTCGCAATAAAATGTGAATTATTATTGATCTATGTTGAACACTTTCCTCTACGTAAACTGATATGTATATTTTCATATCTATATATTTTTAGTTCCTTTAATATCAAGTTATGATCGTGGTGATGCTAAGTGAAATGGGTTATTTCATGTGATTAGATTGATTTTGTTCGTTGAAATGTTATTTTAAAATGTAAAATTCATGCGATAAAATTATAGAAACTAAAGTTTCTAAAAGAAATACTTGGTAAAGTTTTAGTTGAAGTAGTTGATGATGAAATTAATAGAAGTGCATTATGCATTGGTAATTTTAGTAATAATGCAAATAAATAACTAGGTAATCCTCTTTAACCTTATGCGAATCTTTTATATATACTCGTTATATATACTTTTTAAGCGTGATTTAATTCAATGATCGATGTATGTATCAATTGAGGTTTTAAAATAATGTTACAGTCCACAAACAATTTATATATAAAAACTATTTCACGATTTCCCACTACTTTTGAAGTCGGCAAATCCTAAAGGACTTATATGGAATTAAATTTGCAAAATCTAGATGAATTCGTGTTAAATTCGCCTGAA